TTATTTGCGTCTTCTCTCTCTTTTCTTTTGTGAGTTTTGCTAGTGGAGTATCGATTTTGTTGACCTTTTCAAAGAACCAACTCCTAGTTTTGTTGATAATCTTTTTTTAATTTTTTATACCAGTTTATTTACAACATTCTAATATATTGTTTTTCAGGCCAGATTCTTCCAGTTTCCCTTACCCACCCCCCATCAAATTGTACAACCCCATAATTAATCCACTGACAGACACACCCCCATCCTCATTCCCCTGATTCTGCTCTCCCTCGCCCCACCAGCTGGATTCTCATGTTCATTCGACAATAATGGTTTTATACAGTATTTGTCCTTATGGGACTGAGTCACTTCACTCAGCATAATGCTTTTGAGTCCCTCCCAAGTTACATAATAATTTACAAAATCATTGCTCCTGTGTGCTGTATAGTATTCTATTGTATGAAAGTACTATAATTTCTCAATCCATTTGATTGTGGTTGGACATTTAAGCTGTTTCCATGTTCTTATGATGGTGAATAATGCTGCTATAAACATTGGTGTACAAGTCTCAGTTTGTGCCTCAGTTTTCATTTTCTCTGGGTATATTCTAAGCAGTGGAATAGCTGGATCATATGAAATTTCTATGTTCAGCTTTTTTAAAGAAAATGTTATTTATTTATTTATTTATTTATTTTTTGGTTTGTGTGTGTACTGTCGAATCGGATCTGTTACTGAAGGAGATTGTCCCTCCTTCTCCAGCAGAGCATCTGGTGGATTCAAACCACGCACCTTCCGTATTGCAGCACAGTTTCTTGCCACTAGACTATGTTCAGCTTTTTGAGGAAGTGCCAAACTGCCTTCCAGAATGGCTGTACCATTTTACAATCCCAACAATAATGTATAAGAGTTCTTATCTTGCCACATCCTCTCCAACACTTATTACTTGCTGTCCCGTTAAATTTTCCCACTGTTACTGGAGTAAGATGATATCTCATTATGGTTTTGATTTGCATCTCTCTTATTGCTAGTGATTTTGAGCATTTCTTAATGTGTCTGTTGGCCATTTGAATATTTTCCTCTGTCAAAATTTTTTCCATGTCTTTTGCCCATTTTGTAATTGGGTTATCAGTCTTTTTCTTGTGGAGGCCTAGGAGTATTCTGTAAACTTTTGTTATGAGACTCTTGTCTGAGATGGTATTGCCAAATGTTTATTCCCAGTCAGTAGGTTTTCTCTTCACCCTGCTGGAAAAAGTTTTTGAAGCTCAAAGGGATTTAACCTTTTGAAGGTTCCATTAATCAATTTTATCCTGTTCAGATTGTGCATTTCTGGCTGTATTTGGCAGTCTCTTTATACTGCAGATTGGGGCTTCTAAGCTTGCTCCCAGTTTGTTTCTTATAAACTTTATGGTTTTGGGCTTTACTCCCAGGTCTCTGATCTACTTTGAGGTGATTTTTGGATACAGTGTGAGATGTGGATCCTGTTTCAGCTTTCGGCAGAAAACCTCATTTCTTAATACTAAAGAATACGTTTTATGCATGCATCCATTATTTGTTGATGGAAATTTAGGTTGTTTCTACCTTTTTGCTACTGTGGTGTACAAGCCTCTTTCTTTAAGTCTCTGCTTTCAGGTCTCTTGCGTATCTACCTAGATGTACAATTGGTGGGTCATGTGGTCGTTCTATTTTTAGTTGTTCAAGGAACACTGATTGTTCACAGCAGTTACTGTATTTTGCATTCTCATAAATAATAGATAAGGGTTCCAATTTCCCCAAATCCTCATCAATACTTCCATTTTTAAAATCTCAGCCACTCCAGTGGAAGTGAAATGCTACCTCACTGCACTTTTGATTCGCATCTCTCTGACTGCTAATGAGGCCGAGCATCTTTTCCTGTGTTTGGTGACCATGTGAATATCTTCTCCAGTGAAATGTTTATTCAAGTCCTTTGTCCTTTAACTGGTCTTTTTGTTTTAAGCTTGTCACTGTTCTAGGTATGTTTTGGTTATTAGATGCTTGTTGGAGAAATGGATCCCAAAGGCATTCTCTACTTTTTTGGTAAAGTCTTTTAATGAACAGTAGTTTTAAATTTTTATCTCATTTATTATTGTCCTTTTGTTTTAATATTAGATAATCCATTGTCTCATATAGGTAGGCCTCACAGCGTCATCCCTTCATATTCTTCTAAGAAGTGTATGGTTTTAGTTTGCACATTTAGGTCCTTGATCTATTTCCAATTTGCTTTTGTGTATAATGTGAAACATTAGCTTTTTTCTTAAAAAAAAAATGAAGACAACATGAAAGTCAAATTGATGTAATTAAGTAACATTTATTTTACATAAAACAATCTGCAAAGAATACATTTAAAAACCATCTAGATACTGATTTTATTGCATTACAAAAAAATTGAGAGGCACAATTGAAGTATTCAAATACCTTGTGGGGGTGGAGGTGGGGGCTATGACTGCTATTCCATGTTGTTCTTCGTCATCTAATGGCTCTGGGTACAGGAGTCCTTACCATGAGGCAATAGTGCACTTTCGTTTAGTAGGAATACATCACAGAAAATATATACTTTAATACAGAAAGTATTATTATATTGTCACTTCCGATTACTTAAAAAACTTCACTTCAAATTGCACAAAAGTTATCTTTAAAATGGACAACTCTCAGGAGACAGAGCTTAGAACTAAGTATCTGTCTAAATAATTCATTACAAATAATTAGGTTTCCATTTCTCCACAGATAAAAAATAAATCTATGAAGAAGCATATTATTTAAATGGGACATTTAAAAATCTCATTTCATAGGAAAATAGGTTTACACATTTGTCCCTAGTCAGCTAAATTTATTTTCCTCCTATTTTAGAAGCAAAACAGATCACAGACTGTGCAAGGTTTTAAATCAGAGTCCCTATACCACAGTACAGTGTGGAAGTGTTTATATTAATTCATTTTGCGTGTCATTCTACGGTAGTATTAAATTATCAAAAAGGCACGTGGGTACATTCTTCAGAACAGTTTTGGTCTTTAAAAAAAATCACACGTTTATAAGCAGTGATTTCAATCATATTTAAAAATAAAAATATTAAGTAAATGCATTTCCCAATCCAGGCAATCCAGAATCCAGGACATTTCTGCAGGCACTTCACTTCCCATAGAACTTCTTGTTCAGCAGGTAAATAAGAAGGTTTACATTCACTTTCACCTTATCAAACATTTTCATCACAGCTACTCCTTCATACTGCATCTGAAGTAGATCCTGCGATTGTAAAGAACATCATTAAATGGCATCTTTGCCAAAACACACTCAACATTTGCTGGCAACAGATTAAGCTGGCCTAATGACCGCGATCAAGGGGTTCTTCAACTTTATCATGTATTAATATCACCTGGTTAAAAATGCCAAAACCCCACATCGAACTCATTGCCTTATAGCTGGTTCCAAGTCACAGCGACCAGTTAACACATAAGTTTCTGGGCTCCACCAAAGGAATTTGTGAGGCTGTAAATGAGATGGGGCCCCCAACGTGCATTTTAAACATGATCCCAGGAAGGGATACTATTTATTGATCTATCCAGCTTGTCACACTCAGAGTCATTCACTTGGATGGAAGAAACTAGGTTCTTAGAACTAATAAAGATCGTAAGAAAGAATGACAGTACTATTGAGCTAGTCTCACCCACCAGATTATGAGTCAGCCTCATTCACGTGATTGCAACTGGCTGATACAAAACACATAATTTCTGGTCTGAGTTGAAAAAGTCAAATACACCAGATGAACAGGCTGTGTCCTTTAGGACAGTGACGTTTTCTAAAATGAGTGAATCATTCTTAGGGGATCAAGAATATCAGAACTCCTAGCTATTTTCATTCTTTAAACATTTTCATTTTGTACACCTATTTTATAATTCCAACAAGTCTGTTGTCATCGAGGCGACTGTGGTTCATTATGACCCTACAGAGAACAGCAGAACTGCCCTGTCGGGTTTAAAAGATGGTAAATTATTATGGAAGCAGACTGCCACATCTTTGCTCCACAGAGCGTCTGGTGGTTAGCTGCCAAGGACTTTACCAGACTTTCAACAAGATGGACTGTCTAAGGGCTGCCTCAAGGGGCTCAAACACAGACGTAGTTCTGAGGATGGCGCGGGACCAGGACGTGTTTCCTTCTGTTACACACAGAGTTAACTCTACATTGGAACTGACTGGATGGCATACAACAACAGTAGCTATATATTTTTATAATGTACATATTAGAATACTAGGGTAGAAGTGCGCCCTTGGGAAACAAGTGTATATATTAATATCTATGGAGAAGTTGTTAGATGCCATCAAGTCAACTCATTGTGACCCAAGATAGAAGCTTTGCTTGATCCTGTGCCTTCCTCACAAAGATCTCTATGCTTGAAAGTGTATTGCTACAGTCACTTCATCAATTCATTTCCTTGAGGGGCTTTCTCTCCTTTGCTGACCTTCCAACCTTTCCATGCATGATGTTCCCTTCTAAGGATTGGCCTTTCCTTGCAACATGCCCATATATGTAAGACAATGTCCTCGTGCTTTTATAGATGAATTGGTGCAATTAAAATTGCAGGTCAAGGTAGAAAGCAACTCTTTCTTGGAATAGAGTACTTTCTCCCTATATATAAAACAGAAAGTGCCCATTCTCAAATCAGTCCATCATTGTATTTTCAACTGTCATCATATAAGCAAAGGAAAGAAATTCTCTTACTAAAGTAAATATCCGAGTCATACCGGCCATATGAAAATGTCACAATAAACCAAGACTGCTGTCTTGCCCCAAAGAAAAGATATCCTCCCTGAATGACTGTGAACTAATATCTGTGTCTCTTTTTTCGCAGCTCTGGAAATGTCTTGATTTTTAATAATGTCTGGTGTCTATATTAAGTGAGATCACTTACAAAAATTGGAGTGTTCTCTGTGCAGACTTTGGCTGTTGCCAGCTTCCTCCTCCACTTCCTCAATTACCTCCCATTGCACTCAACTGTTACGTGTGCTGGGGAGCTGATTCAGACCTCTACATTATTAAGATTAGTTTCCAGGACTGAAATTCCATAGGGACTTGCTTTAGGCAAGAGTGCTTTTATCTATTAACGTGCAATGGAGATTCTCTTTTCTTCCAGGGTACACAATATTTGTTCATCAAAGTCCCTTGAAACAAAGGTTAAGTCAGTACGGTTGCATCGAGAAGGTTTATGTAGGGGAGTTAGCAGGGCCTCCAAGTCAGGGTACAGAGAAAACTGTGACCACACCCTTGTGACTGGAAGACCAGAGTTTAGTCTTTGCTCTTCCATTTGCTATTTTTAAGACTTTGCAAATCATAAAATCTCCTTGAAGTTCCAGTCTCTTGTATATAAATTGCAAAAAGAGTGCCAACCTCTGAGGACACCACAGGACGTAGGAAATGACAGTAGCTGCAAACTCTTTGTGAGCCACTCTTGGCTCGTCAAGATCAATTGGAATCATGGGAGAACAGAGTGGAGCAGGATGATGAAGAGAAGTTTATCACTGACCTGCTCTGGAGACCAGGAGAAATGGGCACCATTCCCATGTGAAAATGATGATGCCAAAAATGAAAATGTAATTGCTTTTCTGAATCTATCTGAGGCTAAGGATTAAGGAGCTGGGGTAAACAAACTTAAACATTTGGTGAATTTATTCCCCCCTCCTTTTCTTTTTTTGCATGCAATCTGGGCCTTTTCAGTTTATGTTCATCTAAGTTTGACTTGAACTGGGCTCTTAAGTAGTAACAACTCATATTGTGAACATCATTTTCCTATTTAAAGATCTCTGTTTTGAACACTCCCTTTCATTCTTATGATTTAAACATTTAAGAAAATGCTTTTAATTAGTAATTGAATACTGACATAGTATGCATTAGTGTATGCTTTAAAATGGACCTGAGGCTTAGAAAAACATAACTGCTGGGGTTGGATATTTATTTTAAAAATACAATAGTCTGAAAAACCACCACTAAAAAAACCCTCATCAACATTAAAAAAAGAGAAAATATTGTCACTGATCTGTTAAATGTCCTTGCTGTCAAAAACTAAAACCAAAAAGGTCATGATTTATTCAGCTGATTGACACTGTGAAACTCCAAGACCATGGACCGTGGACACTCTTTGCACCTGAAATAAAGTTCATGCCCCCTTGGCCTGACTTTCAGCCAAATATCAGATAGATCTAAGGTGACGAATAACATCAGGCAGGCACTTATTCCTTAGAATAAAAAACCAAATAAGGACAAAAGAGTAGTATTTGCCCAAGGATAAAAAGATATGAAGACAGGAAGGGTAGGATAAAAGCATTTTAAAAAACGAGAATTGCAGGTAAGACATGGGGAAAGTCCAAATGCATTGTGGGTATTTTCAATTAATGTCATAAACCAAAATGTGTATGAATAGGTGAATGAAAAACCAATCTGCTTTGTAAACATTCACTCAAATCACAATAAAAATAAATTTCCCAGTTGTCATAAGGGTGTGCAAGCAGGGGAGGAGTGGTGCTGGTGTGAGAAACAGGAAATAAAGATAACTTATTTCCAACATGTGGAAATCTCAGCTTACCTGAATATTGAGCTGCACCTTCTCCATTTCAACACCCAGGAGCTTTGTTCTGACATCAAAGATGCCCACATCTTCAGAAGAGGTGATGTCAAATGTAACATTTTTAAACCTGAATAAGAAAGGAAACATTCACATATGTTTTGTATAACAGGAAAAAATAAACATGCTCTCAAAACTGCCATTTTTAGTGAATGGTCTCTTGGTGAAATTCTGAGGAAAGTACCAAAAATGTCCCATCATTTTCTCCCACTTCGGCTCCCCAAACACTAGGTCAAGTAGAAAGAGTTGAGATCTACAGCTCAGGGCACCACAGTTCTCACTGGAGGGCACTCCAGGAGTGTAGTCCACAGCAACCTGCACTGCCAACCCAAAGGTGGTGGTTCGAATCCACGAGTGGTTCTGCTTACTACAAAAGAAATAAGCTGTATAGCCCTCATCCTAGAGAGGGTTAAACCAGGCTACTCCTTGGAGACAAGGATTCTGGGGTTTCGTCTGACATACTTTGGACATGTTGTAAGGAGAGACAGGTCCTTGGAGAGGGACATCATGTTTGGTAGGGTAGAGGGACAGCGCAGGAGGGGAAGACCCTCTATGAGGTGGATTGATTCAGTGACTGGGGTAATTGGGACGGGTGTGTCAGAGGCAATGCAATTGGCACAGGACAGAGCAGGGTTTAGGGCTGTTGTACATAGGGTCGCTATGAGTCGCAAACGACTTGACGGCACATAACAACAACAAAAAATATAGTTGGAAATACAGGATAGCCATAGGATGCAAGAACATATACTGAGCTATCCTGCTCACAGCAAGAGTCTGGTGGTGTGATGATTAAGTGCTTGGATGCTAACAGAAAGACTGGGAGCATAAATTCATGCAATGGCTCTTGGGAGAAAATGAAAAAAACTCAGTGCTGCAGAACAAACTCATTCATAGGTGAATCTCCATTGGGTTTCCCAGACTACAAATTGTACGGGAAGAGATTACCCAGCTTTTTCTTTCAGCGTAAGCAGCTGGCGGATTTGAACTGCAGGAGAGGTATGGCCTTTGGGTTAACTGTGAAACTCTCTACAGATTAAGCCATCAGTGTTCCTTCTTTGCGTGAAAGATCTGGTGAACGTCTTCTGTAAAGATTATTGTCAGAAACTACTATGGGACTATAGTATATTATATGACTATTTTGTCATATGGTGCTGCTATGAATAAAAAAATAAGCTCAGGTCTAAAGGAAAGAGGGAAGATTTGGCAGGGATCTGGAAAGACAGGGTAATGGTAGGCAGAGTACAATGGTGGTTAATTTTATAAAAGAGAATGATAATGATTGTATGAAACACAATGTGAATGAGGCAGAGTGTGAAACACAATGTATATGAACTTTGTAAGCAAACCAAAATAAAATAAAAACCAAACAAACAAATCAAAACCAAAAATTCAACAGCACCCAACAACAACGACTCACAGGCCAGCTGGGCTTTCAGAAAATAACTTCACAGACATTTGAAGAGGATAAGTGTTTTCCCTGAATTTGGTGCAGTCAACACAAAGTTTCATACTTTTACCTAAAACACAATTCTGTAAATACCTATGTGTGTATGTATACACACACATGCACAGACATATATATATATGTAATGAGACAAAGAAATCTTCATGGTTAAATTGAAGACAGACCTCCAGGAAAGCAGACTTTAAAGAAAGTATAAGCCAGTTACTCTGGCTTCACATTAGACAAAGGGCAAGGAAGTGATGCATGGAGGGGCCCCCAATCTCTATGAAATAGAGGAATACTTGGTCCCTGGTCTCAGGCTGTGGATCAGGACTTCTGTTCCCTCCTCTACCCCAGAGACACACACTAACTGGGCTGTATGAGCACAGGCTCTGTCCCAGGGTTGGCATATTAAGAGTGTGGGTTTCACCCACAGCCACAGCATCCCTTTTCAGCAGGAAGTAGCTAAGAGAATACGCCGTCCCCTTTTCCTTATGACTCAGGGTGAAGTCTCTCTCAGGGAGGAGTGATAGGGAATGGCAAAGGACACACTGACAAAGGAAATTAATCAGAACTGGCTTTGACAAGCACTGTGGCAATTGGACAATTAAAACAGACATTTGGGGTGGGGGGGAAGAAGAACGAACTGGGGAGGAGGGTAGAGAAAACAGTGCAACTATGAAGGAATGAAAACCCAAAATCCCTGTAAATGTTCATTAAAACAAATAAAATTTAATAATAATAATAATAATTTTTAAAAAAAGAGTGTGGGTTTCAAAGTACAAGGGCCTTGTTCTGAATTGTAGATAACTCTCAGTTACCAGGTCTGAAAGGCAGACATTTTATTCTCACAGCTATGACTCAGTCCTTTCAGAAGGAAAATGACAGGCATTCATAGCCACACACACTGGATAGTCCAAGGGACCAGGTCCATGTGAGCAGCAGCTGAGTAAAGGTTGATGCAAAGACCAGAGATTAGAACCATGTATTTTCTTTCATTATCTGTAATCCAGGGTGGGGATGGAGTGGGGGTGGTAAACCCGGCTATACCAACTGAAGGTCTATCAGAGGCCACAGGAAACCAAACGATGGGAATCGCCCTGTCAACTGCAGCCCCCAGGCCCACTCACTGGTTGCTCTGGAGGTCGTCTATCCCCAACAGAACACCCTTCTCCTGTAGCCTGGCTGCTGTGTACTTCAAAGACTTTGCTCTCTTCTGCCCCTTGGGTTCTTCTTTCCCATCTAGTTTAATTGATCTTCGAGTATTCCTGAAAAACAAGAATAGGGCATTTGTCATCGTGATGCCAAACTCTACTCCTGCTGGGAGTGTAATAACCACTCCCAGAGGAAAATACTAGCTTGAAATGTACAACTTGTTATTATCTGATGTCGTTGTCATGTACCTTTGAGTTAGAATAAACTCATAGCTAACATTCCAGTAGGTTTTCAGGGGCAGTAAACCACACAGGAGGGGATTACCTATCATGGTGGAACTAGCTGGTGGATTTGAACCACATACCTTTGGGTTGGCAATGCAACTTCTTACCATTAGACTGCCAAAACTTCTTGTTATTTTCTGATGTTGAATACCATCGAATTGGAACTGACCCATAGCTGACCCTCAGATGGGTTTTCAGAGGCTGTAAATTGCTTGGGAAGAGACTGCCCATGCTTCTTCTGCAGAAGAACTGGTGGGTTTGAACTGTATACTTTAGGGATTGCAGTGTAGTTTCTTACCACTAGGCCACAATAGCTGCCTTATTTTCTGATGTTGTTGTTGTTATATGTGCTGTTGAACTGAACACGACTCATAGCGACCCTATGTATAATAGCTCTGAAGCCTGCCCTGTCACTAATTCTGACACACCTACCCTCATTACCCCAGTTACTATATCAATCCATCTCCTCCGGGGTCTTCCTCTCTTGCACTGTCCCTTCATCTTTCCAAGCATGATGTCCTTCTCCAAGGACATCATGGCCACATGCCCCAAATATGTTAGATGGAGCTTCAAAATCCTTGCCTCCAAGGAGCAGCTTGGCTTCACTCTTTCCAGGACAAACTTGTTAATTCTTTTGGCAGTCCATGTTATGTTCAATATTCTTCTCCAGCACCACAACTTCTGTTATCTTTGGTCATTTTGAAGCTCTCTGATACATAATAAGTAATTGTGAAGCTCTCTGATACATAATAAGTAATTGTGAAGACTAAAGCCTGGATCAGGCACACCTTAGTCTCTAGAATGACATCAATGCTCTTTAGCAGTCAGACGAGGTCCCTGACAGCAGATACTCCTAATGCAGTTTGTTTTTTATTTCTTGCCTGCTGGTGCCAAGAGTGTTGACAGTGGAATCAAGCAAGCTGAAATTATAAATAATCTCAATCTCTTCTCTCATCTATCATGTAGCTGCTAATTGGCCCAGTGGTGATAAATTTTGTTTTCTTGATCTTAAACTTGAGTGCATATTGCAGACTACAATCCTTGACCCTCTGCAGCAAATGCTTCAGTTCCTCCTCAGTTTCAGCGAGCAAGGTTGTGTTATCTGCATAACATAGGTTGTTGCTAAGTCTTTCTCCAATCCTCGGTGTCACATTCCTCCTCATATAGCCCAACCAACCAAATGATTTGTTCTGCATATAGATTGAAAAGGTATGGAGACAGGATGCACCCATGACTTTGAACCATGCAGTGTTTCCTTGCTTTGTTCTGAAGACTGCGTCCTGGACCAAGTATAGGTTGTGCATGAGCACAATCAGGTGTTGTGGGATTTCCATTTTTCTCAAGGTTAGTCACAATTTGTTGTGATCCACAATAAAATCAAGTGCCTTTTCATAATCAATGAAACACAAACATACATTCCTCTGGTACTTTTTTTTTTTTCAGCCAAGATCCATCTGACATTGGGATGATATTCCTAGTGTCATGACCTTTTCTAAACCTGGCTTGTATTTCTGGTAGTTCTCTGTCAATGTACTTTGAGTTGCTTTTGGATATGATCTTCAATAGGATTTTGCTTGCATGTGGTATTAGTGTCATCGTTCGATAATTTCCGTAGTCTTCAGATGACTTTTTTTTTTCTTTGAATGGGAATAAATAAGGATCTCTTCAAGTCAGTTGGCCAGATGGTTGTCCTCCAGATTTCTTGGCACAGCTTGGTGAGCACATCCAGGGCTGCATCAGTTTGCTAAAATATATCAATTGCTATTCCATCAATTCCCAGGGCCTTGTTCTTTGTCAATTCCTTCAGAGCAGCCTGAACGTCCTCCTGCTTTATTTATCACTGCCTCTTGGGGCTATGTTGTTTCATGAAGTTCTTCTCAGTCAGTTCTTTTTGGTACAGTTATTCCTTCCATTTTCTTTTGATGCCTCCTGGATCAGTTAATATCCTGCCCACAGCACCCTTAAGTATTGTAACTCGAGGCTTGAATTTGTTTTTTTAGTTCCTTCAGTTTAAGAAATTATGAGTAAATTCATCCCTTTTGATTTTCCAACTCCAGCTCTTTGCACATTTCATTATAATACTATGCTTTGTCTTTTCACACTGCTCTTTGAAATTTGTTCAGCTCCTTAATTTTCTGGTCTTCCCCTTTGCTTTGGCTTCACGGTGCTCTAGTGCAATATTCATAGTATTCTGTCATCTATCCTGGTCTTTTCTTCCTCCTCTGTCTTTGTAATAACCTTTTATATTCTTCATGAATAATATTGTTGATACTTTCCCATAGTTCATCTGGTCTTATCTGATGGCACCTGACAAAAACTTCATTTCAAGAAATGCAACATATATATTTAATACATATATATATAAAATAAATGTCGATAGTTGTAGAGGAGCTTCAGGCCTTTGTTCATGAGTCATGCTTGAGGGAAATCAATAACAACAACAAATACATATTTTTTTCCCCTGACAATCTGTATTATGCAGATGACACAACCCTGCTTACTGAAACTGAGGTGGATCTGAAGCGCTTGCTGCAGAAGGTCAAGAACTGCAGCCTTAAATATGGATTTAAGCTCAACATCAAGAAAACAAAGATTCTCACAACTGGGCCAATTGGCAGCATCATGATAGACAGTGAAGAGACTGAGACTGTTTACAGCTTTAGTTTGCTTGGCTCCACAATCAACACTCTCAGTACTAGCTGCCAGGAAATTAAAAGATGAATTACATAGGGAAAGTCTGCTGTCAGAGACCTCTTCAAAGTACTGAGGAGCAACGATGCCAGTCTGGAGACTGATATAAAGTACATCTTTGCAATTACTTGTTATGCATCAGAGAGCTGGACAATGACTAGGGAGGATAGAAGGAGAATTGATGCCTTTGAGCTGTGGTGCTGGAGAAGAGTATTGAATATTCCATGGACTGCCAAGAAAACAAACAGATCCATCCTAGAGAGGGTTAAACCAGGCTACTCCCTGGAGGCAAGGATTCTGGGGCTTC